GGTACTTTTAATCCCTATGGGAACCTTTATAACTGGCTGATGCATTACTGTTGATCACAGAAATAAGTGCAATTAACATATGAAAAGTTGAGACATTTATCGTTAACCGATTTGGACATTTATGAGCACCTAATTTGTTGCGACATTTTTCGTCAATTTTTGGACATTTATCGTAAGAGGAGTTTTGGACACTTATCGGCGATTGAGAAATTTATCGTCAATTTTTGGACATTTATCGTCGTTTGGACATTTTTCGACGTTTGGACATATATCGGCGCTACACATGTCTATACGTTAGAGTGTGTTGTACTAAATGGCATATCATTAACATAGAAAATGAAGAGTAAAGGGCCTAATATAGACCACTGGGGGACACCTGATTTCACTGTTTCACTATTTGAACGATTATTTCCATATTTGACAAACTGTGTCCTATTATTAAGGTATGATTTGAATAGTTTTATTGAGACGTTTGAGAGGTTGTATAATTTGAACTTGTGTAACAATATGTCATGATCTACCAAATCAACGGCCTTCTTTCGGTCCTAAAAACTTTGTGCCTTCCAAAACTATCGTCATCTAAATCATTAAGGAAGAATTCTATGGGCTGTTTAACAGGATTGATTTTTTTTCGGAAACCTCACTTACTTTCATGAATGATATATGTTTCATCTATAACTGTGATGCAATATGTTTTTCAAAGACTTTTGTTGGGCAAAAATATTTTTTTGGTCCTCTTTTGGACCATTTTTGTAAATTGGAAGTACATATGTTTCTTTATTTTTTTTTGGAAGATGCCATTTTTAATGAAATTATTAATTATAGAAGCTATAGCTATTCTTCAATAATCACCACAAGCTTTAAATAAGTAGATACGCGGACTAATTCGATCCTTTTCTACATTCTTTTTATCAATAAGTAGTTTTACTTGGAATGGACTGATTTCGTCAACTTATGTCTTCTTGTGTGACATAACAATTCCACGAGCTAAGATAATTGGTATGTAGATGCCTTGTGAACTTCAATTTTTAGGGAGTCTTAATTTTCGCTATTTTATCGCCACATCAGCGAAATCTGTGCCATGTAGAGGCCGTAAAATGACGTCCCGTATACTCACTCAGAGATGTTATATTTCCCATCCTTGAAGATCTTTCAGTATGACACAAAACTCTTATCAAATCAAGAAGACCGCGTGGCATGGTCGTTTTTGATTGACGATTCGTTCTTTCTTTATAGAAAGTGTAAGATATATCAAACATGAAAACATTTTCAAACACAAATTGTTTGTCTTTTTTTGTCTCTTTTTTTGTAAAATTTTCAGTCAATCTAACTTCGTAAGATATTGCGTCACTGTCTTTACTAAAGTTATTTTACGCTTTATTAAAAGAGGTTATGACCCTCTTTTTAGACATACCGCATGCTTTAACAGAAAAGGGTGTGGCAGGTATTAACACTCATGCATAGTAAAGTTCAAATGCTTTCCTGATTTGGATCGACATATATTTTTAACAAGCCGTCCGAAGATAACAACACCGCATGTTCCTTCAAAGCCGCCTCTTGTCTTAGCGCTGTATTGTCGCAAATTAGATCAACCACGTGGTTTAAAAGATGAATAGCCTGAATTTTATTTGTATTTCCATCAATGAATACATAAACATTCACGTCTGTTTTAATATAGAAAACAAGATCAACAAGGAAGGACGGCATTTAATGAACGCATCCCCCAACACAGGACCACCAGCAAGAAATCCAGCATAACACCAAACATGACAGGGTACACGGGCAAAAAGTCTGCTAAATAATTCATACTGGTTTGTGCGTACTGCAAACGGTAATTTTTCGACCGCTACCATGGTTGACAGGTTTTTTTAAAGATCTTATCAAAGCGTTAATCTCTTAATATAATTTAGATTTAAGGTCAGTGATGGACAGCAAATCAAAAGAATCTTTTTTTCTCACGTCGGCTATTAATTAAACTTTGAAACAAAACAAGTTTGTGTATTATACAATAAAATCAAGAAAACTGAATCTCTAGATAAAAGCCCAACACGGCAACATTGGAAATGTTGCAGAAGTTAACTGTTTTGAATGAGCCTGGACGGTAGTGGTAATTGCAGTCTATAGTCCACGTCACCTAGCAACGACTTAAGCCACAACCAGTAAAATATAGGGATTAATCGTATTTTCATTTATAAATAGAACGATTGATATACATCGAACCACAAAATTTAAATTATTTCCTTCATTGCTATGCTGTTTCAAAAAGGAAATTTGAAAAAAAATTATCTGCTCTAAATAAAACTTTCCAAAAAAGCGGTTAAAAAAATTTAAATTAAAAAACAAAAAAAAAATTGGGATAAAAAAAAAGGGTTAAAAAAAAAAACGTTGCTTTCCCCGGGCTGCGGTTCGTTTATTGGGGTGAATTTTTCAAACCCGTGATCCATTTATTATATTTGTATAGAAAATTTAATAAAAAAAAATAAAAAGCCCCAGCACAATCAACAACTAGTATTTCCCCGGGAAATTTTTCCCCGGCAAACCCTATAGCAAACACCTTTGTAAGTTTTCTGACATAATAATATTACCATGGTCCTACACAAACAATTACAAAAGAAGATAGGACAAGAAGCGTATACAGAAATAAAATACATAACAACATAATTATTATATATGCTAGATGATACAAAATGGTAACAACAGTGGTACACATGCGCAGTATCCTTGATTAATCTTGAAGCTGTGCTCTTAAAGAATTGCGCAGTATCTTTGATTAAGATTATGTTACAGGTCATTTATTATTGTTTGTTTACGATACGTAACTCGGTCGATACTCTCTTTCTGTTGTTTTGAACATCAGCATGTATAATTGATGTCTGATTGATTTGCACTTTAGGGGGAATCAGTCTGTTACTTACATGCAAAGAATTGTGGGATTATTCTTTAAATAATTAAATAAAATCAACAGCAACAAAGGCAGTGCATTGTTTCATTCATTTTAAATAATATCTTATGTAATTAACAATCAACGAGACCTGTATTAATTAGAAGATATAAAGTATTAATTTTGCATTAATTAATTATTCAGTATTTAGATGTGAGATGTAATTCAATTTGCAACAATCGTAAGTGTTAAAGCGGAACATCTTAACAGTTCATAAATGTCAAAACATGCATCTATATAGGGTGAGTGAACGCGCAGAGAAATTATTTTTTTAGATATATTGTTTATAGTGTACGCATTATCATATATAAATCAAAAATACCTATTGTGTGCATATCAACAAGGACTATTGTTGTTGTTGTTGTTGTTTAGTTACTTAGATTTATAGTGACTCATCAGGCGGACATTGTAACAACAAAGGCTGGAGAAACATACGTTTTGTTGTAACTCTAGTGTCATAAAAACCTTGTTGTAATATTTTTACACAAGTTTGACAGAGGAAACATGTGCTAGATACATACAAATGCACCAAAATAACACAGAAGGCACGAGAACGTATGAAATATAGAGGGATTTTATAGGATTAATATATGAATATATATGTATGTATATATAAATACGCAAAATGATGTTTAAGGGATTTATTTTTGTGTGATCAACTTTTAATATTTTTTCCCATTGTGAGATTTCAAACATTAAGTATTTGTGTCACTTTTAAATTTAAATTTTTTCCATTTTATGAAAAAAGTTTAATATGCTAAGGGGGTGCTAGGGGGGTCGTGGGCGGGAACTTTTATTTTCCGGGATCGTCCCTGAACAGGCTCAGCAACATTTTCAATTTTGTCGTTTTGAACTTTCTTAAGGGGTTCTATTTCTCTCTTTTTGTTTATTCGTTATCTTTTAACTTTTTGTTTATTGTATATTTAAATATTTTTTTTTCTAATTGTTTTTCTTTCCAATTGCCGGATATAACTGTATTGGCTATCATCATCATCATCATCATCATCATCATAATCATCATCATCATCATCATCATCATCAGCAGCAGCAGCAGCAGCAGCAGCAGCAGCAGCAGCAGCAGCAGCAGCACCATCATCATCTTCATCATCAGCAGCATCATCATCATCATCATCATCATCAGCAGCAGCAGCATCATCAGCATCATCATTATCATCATCATCAAAAAGTACACAAATTATGATTGATATTACAACAGAAACAGCCGTAGCAGTAAATACAACAATGCAATTACAACAAAAATCATCACCATCATCATCATCACCGTCGCTATCATCATTTTCGCAATCATTTTTATTATCATCAAATTTATCAACACTAGTTAATTAAATTAGTAAATCAACAAAGTCACCATTACTTACCGTAAACTGCGCACATTTTAAATAATTGAACTCAAGTTATGTACATATGATATCTGGCAAAACTTTTATTACATGTAGTTTAAACAGTGCATGCATTTCCATTAATATTAATGTTCATTTTAAAAACATGTTGTTCATATGAGTCTCAAATTCCTTCCCTTTTGAAAATATTTCAGCCATGAAAAATGTTACTTCATAAAGGGACTTCCTATAATTGTGTTCAGGAGTATGTTTTGGCATGCACATTTAAAGATAAGATACAACTATCATTAAGGAGTATCGGGATTTTAAACAAAATAAACGACATCAACAGCAAAAAAATATCAATTTCTTGATTGGCAATTGATTTTTCGGTTTTACTTCTTCATAAAATATTCATGGCCACATGACCGGACAATTGAATGTAGGTAAATCGATACGTGTTCTTGTCTAATAAGAAACTTTTCCTTTTCTATAGGGAGATATTCTGGACCAAATAGGACATAACTGATAAAGTATTTTTTTATTTTATTACTAGATAATAATATGGAGAAAAAACTTGTACTAGTACTAGTAATCAATCAATCAATCAATCAATCAATCAATCAATCAATCAATCAAATTGGTCGAATGAACGAACGAAAGAACGAAGGAACGAAAGAATGAATGAATGGATGAATGAATGAATGAATGTAAATGAATGAATGAATGAATGAATGAATGAATGAATGAATGAATGAATGAATGAGTGAATGAATGAATGAAGAAGGCGGAAGAAAACAGGTTATATACGGGTACATTAAATGAAGTAATACGTTAAATTCCTTTATCAAACACATTGTAATAATGAACCAACATTTCCGTCTTACAAATTAACGCCATAAATTAACTATACCAACACTATGAATGTATTTGAGCCGCGTCACGACAAAACCAACATAATGGGTTTGCGACCAGCATGGATCCAGACCAGCCTGCGCATCCGCGCAGTCTGATCAGGATCCATGCTGTTCGCTATCAGTTTCTCTACTTGTAATAGGGTTGGTCTGGATCTATGCTGGTCGCAAACCCATCATGTGGATTTTGTCGTGACGCGGCTCATTTAATGTTTACCAGACAAAATGGAGGAGCACTGTGACACGATGATACATATGATCATGGACAGTGTATATCAGATTAGACTTCAACTTGACGATATCTACATACAAAGTCGACAATCTGCTCGTCCAGCCACGTGCCAGACTGAAATTGAACCATGGTACACGTGGCCAAATCTCATGTTCTACTTTGAAGACCTTGATCTTGACTGTGAGTTTGGATATCTGCAGTTTTTTCAAGTAACAACCAATTCAACAAGAGTAAAAGGTAATAATCATTCGTATCATCATAAGAGCGTTCCCATTGCTGTAGGAGCTAATTGCAACTTTTTGGCCATTTTCGTCAGTCTTCGGATAAGGATAGATATTATAGATATTAGGCAATAAGAGCAAGCATAATAACCAGTGATCTCCAGTTATTATTGATACTAGCCGAGATGTTCCGATTGCGGTATAGTGATTCCTTTGCGACATTGACCTTTTTTGGCACATTGTATGACCAGTCAACCTCATCGCTTACACCAATGGGGATTATTTATTCTCCCTATCTTTTTTTTCGTAAAATTTTATAATCAAATGAAAATAATCAAAATACTTCCCCGCCATAAACGGCGAAAAAGATACGATAACGAAAAGTCGAAACTACGACGATGAAAACGCGAAATATATCGAGTTTTCGCCATCATGGTTATTTCGACCTTTGACATTTGATTTAAAATATTCATAGAATATATATTAATTCATTCTCTTAAAAGATATGTGCAATATGTTTTTAATGGTCATAGACCTTAACTTTTTTCTATCACGGACAGGTCTTGAAGCTAATATATGTGGAGATGCCAAACCTAAAGGCATATTTGTATTGGACAAGGAGAGATATTTGCAGGTTCGGTATGTTGCCAAAAGAAACCAGTATATAGAGGGCGCTTTCTCCATCATTATCACGTCATACACAGAAGGTAATCTTTTAATAATGCACCATCCTTTTTTCAATGAGTCATGTAACAATATATTTCGATTGTTGACATTGTAAAATAGTGATACTTGCTATTTTTTAAGAAAGCGCCAGATTAACTTGATCAGTAGCAAGGAATACAGCTTCCCATACATAGTTTGAAGATTATCTTATTCAAATTAGACACATTTAGTAAAAAAAATTCCTAAATTTCAATAAATTTTGGTAACAAAAGTATTTTCTCAAAATATGAACACAATAAATCTATAAAGTTAACTATTTACAAAGTAATCAAGAGACTCTTTGGTTGTTCAAGGGAGTCTCTTACAGAAATGATTGAATGCTGAATATAATGATTCTTTTTCTTATTGACAGAACCATGTCCTGACCATAGTTTCAAGTGCGACAACTCTCGCTGCATAGATAGAGAAATACGTTGTGACGGCTATGATTCGTGCGGTGATGGCTCCGGATGTAGATTTGACCTGTCGTCTGCTGCCATTGCTGCAATCATCATCTGTAGTCTAGTCGGATTATTTGTTCTCATCTCAACAGCTATATGTGTCGTCTGCTGCGTGAAGAAAAGCCGGAAATCACAAGAAAGAGCTCAGGTTGAAATATTTACTATATAGTTATCAGTTTGAAGAAAATAAAATGATGAGCAATGCAAACTGAAATTTTGTTTACACAGTAGATATTTCTTGAAAAATTTAATATTCGTTTTACATTCTAAAATAATTCTTTTGTTATTATTAAATGATTGATTTATTTTGCTCAAATATAAGATGTACAAAACACAATAGAATAATTTAAGACATTAAACGCACAATTACAACATTCTTTACAGAATCAAGCGCAGCCAGGACTGGTGTATACAGTAACAGCTGATGGAAATGGAACATTAAGTCCCCCATCTTACACCTCCGGTCAAAATGGTCAAAGAAGGTTAAATGATTCAAGTTCGACAAATTCCGCCGCGCATCGGTCCACATCGCCACCTTCAGCTCAACCACCTACAAACTTTACGGCAGGACAAAGCCCTGCGTATCCACCAAACTTTACAATGCCGTCTTATCAAGAGGACATTTTCCAAATTCCTCCTCCGTATGAAGAAATGCAAACATGTGTGCAGGACAGAATAGAATCTACAGAACGTGTTCGTGAAAACACAGATAATGACGTTTTAGAAAACATTAATCCAACAGATATTTCGGTTAATGAGGTAACAGACCGAACAAAAGTAGAAGAGACAAAAGAAAACACAAATAATTCGGCAGCTACTGCTGAAGTAAATTATCATGATAGTGCATCCGTTGAGACTGACCAGAACGAAGACACGACATATGAAATAATAAGTGACCCCGCAGATGTTCTGGAAACGAATGACAATAAAAGTGATTGTAAGAATATCGGAAAGAATTTCACTGATAATACGTCAGAAGAGTCTGAAAAGGAAGTGGCAAACTCTTACACAAACGTTTTATACTCTGGAGAAAATGATAATTTTGTTAACAGGGAACAGAGTTTGGAAAATGGGACAACAAGTGGAGTCGTAGTAGATAAAAAATTCTCCGCTTGAAACTACTGAATAAAATATGTAAAAAACAGTGATGCTATGATTAAAATACCATTGAATGATCAAATTAATGCAAATGGAAACTAAAGAATAAACTAACTAGTATCATGCCAATCATCGTTTCACTAAAATGAAATCGACAGGCTAAAGAGTATCATAAAGCCGTTAGGTGAGGGAATAAACACGGATACTAAAATAATAAATATAAAAGCAGTTTATTTCGACGATGAATTGAACGTTTATGTGAATTTACAGTCACATTATGCTAATTATTTCATTGTCAAGATGCGATGAATTGCCTATACTGAATATACATGTATTTCAAAGATTGACTGTTATAATGGTGATTGGCCGATAGTTGATAATTGGAAAATGATCAAGACAAAATATAAATGTCCATGAAATGTAAAAAGACTGTCCCACTCTTTTTATAAATTGAACTTTTCAGGTAAATTCTGATGGATATTAACAGAATTTTCATTGAGTTATGTGAGTTATTTATCGTTCATGTGAAATAATTTTTAAAAAATGAAAGGAATTATGGCAAAATAAAAAACAAACTTCTTTTGACATTCAGCTGTTCACTCACTATACACCTTTGGATGGACGGAATATCACTTTCAATAAGATATTTAAATACAGCTTTCAATCTAAATGTCCACCATGTTCCCTTTCTATCGTTGTCAAGGGGGTGATAGGTCAAGTCGCAAAACGGAAGTTAAATTCCGGAAGATATCCGGATATCGTAATGTTGTTGTGTTGTGTTGTGTTTTTTTTTTGTAATTAATATTTGCAATGGCACATTAGCCCTGTAGTAGCCCTGTAGAAATGTGTATACTGTGAATTCACTTAATTCCGTGGACACAAAATTTCTTCGTTTTGTCACGAAGAACATTTTCGTGAGTTCGTAAGTCCGTGAACTGTTGATTGTTTGTTTTTCATATAAAGTTAAAATGTGAAATAAAGGATGAAAAATAGTCCTATAAAAATAATGAAATTTCGTTAGATATAAAATTCGTGGATTGACCTTATCCATGAAAAACACGAAAATCAGTATCAAACGAATAGTAATGATTTTGCTAATAAAAACTCCTGCATACATGCTTTATATGTTTTCTGGTGTTTGTAAGTTACTCTTTGCCCGCTACACGAAAATTATACAAACAAACAATCTCTATGGTACATATGGAACCCAGCCAATATTGATGTCGACTTGACCAGCGCAGTGCGACTGCTGAGGTAACATCCTAATCCAATGACGTCATAAATCAACGATTTGCACGTGAAAGCCTGATGGTTCGTGCACTCAACGAGACATTTGTACTCGGACAGGTTGTTGAGTAAAATGTCATACTGACTGGTCGTGTCAAGTTGTTTCTGGTAACTGTTACCGTACGCAGTACATTCTTGAATAAAAAAAAATCGCAGTTATTTTAAAGCAATCAATGTCATTTGTCATATATACATGTATTTGTCACGTGAACCAAACTATTTGTCCAAAAATTAAAATTTTAAGATATAACCTTAGAAACAAGAAAACATATATTCAATGAATAAACAACATCAAAAATAGAACTAAACTGAAATAAACAAAAAGTTAGAAGAACAATCAATCTGTATGAAGATTGTCATGTAGGTTTGTTGTTTTTGTTGTTGTTTTTTTTGTTGTTGTTGTTTTTCAAATATTTATTATCTTTCCTTCTTTAGAAAGGATTAATTCGTCATAAAAGTAGCAAAATGTAAACAATGAAGTATTTTGGCTTCCATACTAACTACTAGATCACTATGACTGTAGTATTTGCCAAAAAGCAACAGAAGGCCAGAAGCATTATAATTATGAATCAGGTAATTGGCAAATGAGGAAATGTTTTTTTTTAATGTAACAGAACACCGGAAAATGAAAAGCTTTTGAGAAATAAGAATTAAGACAATTTGGGGACATAATCCGCCTTTGAGATTACATACCAGTATTAAAATATAATCTATTGTACCTTTAAAATATTTTCTTAATTGTCCTGTGTTAACTATGGTGGCTGATTTGTGCTATTCGTGTTTTCACCCCTCGCCCCGCTAATTAGCGTGTTTTCGCTCCGCGCCCCCTAGATTTTAACTTGTAAATTCCCGCAAATTTGCGTGCCGAAAACACAAATGGCACAAATCAGCCACCATAGTTAACCAGAGAATAAGTGTGTGTGTCTTTTTTTTTATCAAATTGTCACATAAAACGAAACTGATTATTAACTCGTATTTAAATTACATGAGCCGCGTCACGACAAAACCAACATAGTGCGTTTGCGACTAGCATGGATCCAGACTAGCCTACGCATCCGCCCAGTCTGAGCAGGATCCATGCTGTTCGCTATCAGTTTCTCTACTTGTAATAGAGTTGGTAAGCGAATAGCATGGATCCTAATCAGACTGCGCGGATGCGCAGGCTGGTCTGGATCCATGCTGGTCGCAAACGCATTACGTTGGTTTTGTCATGAAGCGGCTCATATGTCGTTATTTTGAAAAAAAGTAATTATTTTGATCGAACCTGCAATACATCCCTGCGTTGTCCAGTCGTAACTGTATCCTAATATACACTGGCATATAGAATCCCTGCACTCGGAGTTCGTTATGTGGGAACACTCATCTATGATCGTACATGGCTCACTCATAAAGAAGTAAGGGTATACCATGTAGCTGAATTCTGAAGGTGGACCAACGTAAGTTGTGTTGCCGTTAGTTGTGGTGCCGTTAGTTGTGGTGCCGCATTGAACGTTCTGTAAAGAATAAATAAATATTGTTTTTTCTATGTATGTATGTATGTATGTATGTATGTATGTATGTATGTATGTATGTGTGTATGTGTGTGTGTGTGTGTGTGTGTGCGCGCGTGTGTGCGCGCGTGTGCGCGTGTGTGCGTGCGTGCGTGCGTGCGTGCGTGCGTGCGTGTGTGTGTGTGTGTGTGTGTGTGTGTGTGTGTATGGATGGATGGAGATGGATGGATGGATGGATGGATGGACGGACGGACGGACGGACGTACGTATATATTAATTTATTTATTTATTTATTTATTGTCAGTGTAAAGGTATATCGGTAGTGTTAAGAACAACTGTTTTGTTTGTTTACAGATCTTGTATACATATTTTGACTTCCACCAAAAGGTTAATGTGTTGTTTAGATATATCGCGAGCTACTAGGGATGATCAAAAAATAACATGGACATTTATTTTTCAAATTCACTGGATTTTTGTTTATTTTTATACTGATTTACTCTGCCTTAAAGGTGCATGCAACAATATGAGCCAAAATTTGTCAATAAAATCACATTTAATAAAATGTACTTAGATAATAAATAAGATTTAAAGAAAACGGCCAGAAGATTCAAGATTCAAGTAATAAATGATATGTTATGTGCGATTAATAACTGATTTCGACGTATTTATCACCATATTTCTACAGCACTAATGGCTACTTTTGCATAGTTTGACCTCTTTTCGGACATTTACGTGAATTGTGCAATGTGTATATTACTGTCTTCACTTCACAATATTTACCTTTCAACTACATTTTCTTTCTTTAAATTTTCATGAAAATAAGCATGAATCTGAGGGCATCTGCCTAACTCTGAATTCGATTGTATAGCTTACAAAGTCATAAGCTCTATCTAACATATATATAAAAAGATAAAAAATATATTTTAAATAACATACCCCTGTTTTCTGAGCATATTGTTGAGGATTCGGACACAAAACCGTAATTTCGGTGTGTATTTGTTCATTTAGAAAACACGTGTTTGTTCCTTCTACTAAAATAACGGACGCACATGAATCGTTTATGCTACACGCACGTGCACAATCCATTAAACTTCTTGAGAATGTCCCGTGCATAGGAACGCCGTAAGGCACGACGCACGCCATCTCTGAGTGATATTCCGTAAAACATTGTCCATAAACAGTAGAAATACAGACAAGTAAGTGCAAAAACAAAACACCATAGAGTACCATTGTTGTCTCTAAAATTGTTGAAATGTTTACGGTTCAAAAAGAGATCTAGTTCTGACCTTTGATCGGCGGGAAAGTGAAGAACGGTATCAGGTGTTATTTGGTCATAGTTTAACCCACGTGACTAGTTGTCCCACGTGTCTGGTTACCCTACGAGTGTAAATATTTAATCGTCATTAAATAAATATTCCCGATCCTTCGCATCATAAAAATATTGGTACATACCGACTTAATAAAAAGTAATCTTTATTTCATAATTGATTTCTTATTTAAAGTGAATTGGTCTACAAATAGAAGGTACGCGTTAAAGCTGCATGCCTCCAGATGAGCCAAAATATCTCAAGAAAATTAAACTTGAGAAAAATGTACTAAGATTTTTAGAAAAGTAAAAAGATTTAAGATTAGTGTATTAATTTACATGTTAAATGTGATTAAGGACACATTTTCAGAATTTCTCACCATATCTCTACTGCGTTATAAACTATTTTCATGAAAATTGGCATGGATCTGGATTGTTCTAGAACAAAATATTATCACCATATATTATTATGTTCGTACTGAATTACTTTAGAATCCTATCAACATTTTGCTTTCAAGAAATATTTTATAAGGAAATTGCAGACTCGGTTTGATCGTGTCTGTTCATGAGAGCAACATTTCTTACCCCCCCCCCCCTGCTCCCTAGCACCGGCAAGCGGTATTCAGTCTTCAGCACTTACAATGATCCCGAAGGACCAGATAAATATATCAACACCTAAGTAAAGTTTGGATCAATTTTTTTATCGAGAGCTGATACTGACATTTGCTTTTGAAAATCCAACACTTCCCCTAAGCATTTGAACTCGACAACAATTTATATATTTTCGTTTTCGATAGGTGCCGGTAAAACTTCACAGAGTGCGTCTACCATTTGAAAATACAAGCACTTCCTTTTTTAATGGCATCACTGTTAACTTCCATTTGACACAGTAAAATTTGTCAACCATTTGCTAATTGAATAAAAGTGTCATCTACATATAGAATAATAAACAATATGACAATCATTAAGTGTTACTTGTAAACAGAAAAAAGTTTGCTTAGATCAGAACCCTGAAACATAGTGGCTTGATATACGTTTTTGGGGGCGACATGTTAAAATTTCAGCCATAATATTGTAAATATTCGACAATTTCCGTCACTTTCCGTGACAGATAAAGATCATGTAAAACTTTTAAAAACGAGTAACTCCATCAGCAACACAATTGCTAGTTTAGGTGGCTAATTTTTAATGACTTGCCACTCGCCTCTTTGTTGTGTTTCTTCCCACTTCTATGGATTCTTATCTTGTCATAGATTTGCATTTTTGTATTTGTCAAAGCTATCCAGGTTGCTAACAAATGGTCGTTGGTTCTATTAGGGTACCGCATGTACCTAAAATAGCCCTTGTAGACGCACCTTAGGTCCTCTTCCAACAGTAAAGCTTAAAAAATGTCGCATTATGTTTTGTATAATTCTTTACCACGTGACTTTTTTCATCTGTGTGAGGCAGAAAATCTTTACAAAAAACGGTCTAGGTAGTATTTCCTACCATTTTTTACATTTTATTATTTTAATGGGATAGAAATGTAGAGAGTTGCCTATACATAGAATGAGATTTGCCGAACAACAAGGAGAAAATCACACAGTTAACTGTTCTTTTTTCTGTTTGGTTTGTTATGTTTGTTTGTTTTTGTTTTTTTTTTCTGAAAACATTCTATGCATGGATTTGCTATAAGTATTAATAGACCCATAAAATATGAAACATTATTAAAAATGTCACGTGATAAAGCCTTGCGTGTATTCAGTGTAGATGAAACCCCAATACAGGATACTTTTTTCAAATACAAAACTGAATTCCCCATTTAGCTACTACAATATTTATTTAGTCTCCAAAGAGTATGACCCACTGATAACGATCATTAAGAATTGTTGACATATATCTTAAAAGGCCGAAGAATACTTTGCGTCCATGCCTTTGTTATAAATTATATTCTTTGTATGATAAACAGTTTTTTTTATCAAATGTAAATATCAATCGTTATTGTTATACAAATAAAAAATATTAACTGTTAAAGTACTCTCTATGAACTATTTATTTCAATGACGTATTCAGCGTTACTTTCTTCATTATTTATTCATTATAAACAAAATTTCTCCTATATATTTCTAGTGTGTTTTTTCTGTAATATTAACTATTGAATTGTTGTATCAAATATCACCTTTTTGTTTGATTACAACGCTGACAAAGGACATTAATTACTTTTATATTATAACATTTCAGTATATACCTTAAATAAGAAATCGATGTTAAAACTATTTACTTAAACTAATATATAATTAAACGTAATTTACAAAAATTAGCCACTGAATGTGGTTATAATAAATTTTTATTATTAAAAAAAAAAATCAACACACGGTAGTACGGGTATGCATTGTGTTTAACTGTCAATTGAGCAGTATGCGAAATACAAAAATGTATGGTGGCTGATTTTGAACGCTTTTGTGCGTCATGTTGGCGCGACAAAGCGCCAAACGGCGCGTTGTGGGACTTTTGTCTTCTTGCCCTGTCGCTAACCAAATCAGCCACCATAAAAAAGAGCATTGTAAAGTTTTTGAAGGCTCTTCCGAACTGTTGTTGTATTGTTAATTTGGAGACCGGTTGAAGATACGTATATTTTTGCATTCTTGTACATAATGCATTCAATTTCAAATATCATTTGTACAAACCATACAGTAAATAAGACTAAATGATTACAAGGTGTATGGTTAGGTTTGATTATTAATTCCTTATGTACGCTGAACCAAAATGTAAACTGACGTAAAAAATGTGGTAAAATTACAAAGATATCGGGAAAATCTACGCCGGAGTGTTATGGGCATACTGGAGGCTGGGCCTACAACTGCACATGTGGTGCATAATACATAATTTATTATACATCACGTAAACGTTTTACTATAAAGCCTAATGTGACGTCACATGGTGTTCGCAATATTCATCAGGGACAAGTAATCTATATAGACTTGAAAAAGCGTAATGTTCTAGTTCTCTCCCTTGGCCGCAATCGATGCTGAATAGCTTTCGAAGTAATAATGCATAGCTTAAAATGTTGGTTCGGTATGATGATGATAATAATAATAATAATAATAATAATAATAATAATAATAAAAATAATAATAATAATAATAATAATAATAATAACAACAACAACAACAATCATAATCATTATCATCATCATCATCATCATCATCATCAGCAGCAGCAGCAGCTGCAGCATCGACTGTGAATTCTTATTTGAAGCGCAATACTCTTTTCTATATTAAAATGGCTTCACTTATACAGTCAGGAAACTGGAAACTCTTGAACATTCACTCAAGCGCTGTTATACGTCATATGTTATACGTTATATATCGCGACGTCCCGCTACATGTCGCACTTGCCGTATCGTAACGACCGCTAAATGTCGCAAAATCTTCCGTCGTTAAATTTCGCAATGGTAAAAATCGCACGATTTTCCCTCGAGGTTTAATGTCGCAAGACTACATTTTATGTCCCGAGATGTATATTCATGCTTAAAATAAATAAGGTAGTGCCATGGTATAAACATTGTGTAAATGTTTGTACATTTTTAATAAATTTTATGTAAATTTGATACATAAAGAAATGGCCCAATCAATCTGCGACTCAAGATGAAAGTGGATTGGCCTACAATGGGCACATATTAAGGAAATATTTCAAATATTGATAAAACAATAGAAACGTATCATTTCGAATTTTACAAAATATTTTTGAACAAAAGATGTTTAACTAGTTCTACATGATTTAATGTCACTTATATATGTTGAATTACTAAAATTTTGTTCCAGAACAATTTTATCAACAAACATGTAATTGTTTCATGGTTTGTTATCACATATTATACATAATAATATTAACATTTTGAATATTTAAGTATTTAAATATCTATGGTATTGCATATTTTCCACCACAGACCCATTATCCTTTTTGTTTGCAATTAAAATATAGTATGCTTGTTTGTTTGTTTCATTTTACGCCTTTTTCCAACAGTATTTCAGTCATATAGGCGGGTAGTTTCTTAACCATTGTTCCTGAAGAGTTACAGCAGTACTAGACTACCTTCCTCCGCGCTTAACTACCAAAGCATCTCCCGGGGATCGAAACTACGCCAGAGAGGTAACTTGATTAGAAGTCATCGACTCTAACCCCTCGACCAAAACAAAGTATGCATCTAAACATATAATAATACCCTTCTAATTGTATTGCTGTGCGTACTTTTGCATTTATAACTAGACTAGAAAGTGCCCATCTATACTTGCCCCTCACCGATGTGGGTTCGAATGCTGCCAAGGACTTAGGAATCTTCCATGTGAAATCAAGCTAGCTTATGGAGCGTCGGTTGTTCCACTAAGTACCCGTTTGTGTACGGGGGGCATTAGAGGTTTTCCGGTCGCTGTATGATTTTACTTAAGACCTTACTTAGGACTTTGCAGCTCCTTATTAGAAGTTTTTAAAAATTAGGCTTTTAGAACTCTTTATTACGAGTAAAACAGGTTTCTTAAAAAGATTAAGGTTTTGTACCAGACGGTTCCGTACCAAAACTCTTTTTAAAACATTGTTATTTTATTACAAATTTCGACCATGCGACCACATACATGCATCGAGGACTTATTTTTAGGAAAGTGACCGTGCGACCACATACACGCATCACAGGATTCCCCTCCTCTTACGAGAAAGGGACTAAGAGTTGTCCACCCTTTAAACAAAGGGCAGACTGTAAAAACGTGCCATTTCCTTATTGCTATTGATAAGGAGGCTAGTTTCCACACACATTTACTGAATTGGTTTATATACCACAATAGTTATGCAAACCAAGCGGGTTTTAAGTTTCCGTCCTTTTAGGTTCACTATGAAATTTTCAAAAGATTATATCTAATTTTTTGGAAAAATTTCAGTTTTCAGTGTTTTCTACTTTTTGTTCTATATTTATAACAGCATTATTTCATTTTTGCAAAGCATGAACGTTTCAAAAACGTTTTATATGCATTGACTTTTTCACACTTTGCAAATGTTAGCCTGGGGCATTTTTGCCAAAATACGCATTTAATTTCTATTTTTATAGCACTGGTAAAACTGTACATATTTGCATGTCTAATCTGAAGCTAGACGCTTTTCAAACTTCCATTCTTTTAGAACTGACTATCAATCTTGGAATATCAAGATAAATATTTCTAAAATTAGTCAGCCATTTGTACACAGCCGGTTCAATCTGCACGGGCTAACATGTTTCTCTATACCAAGGGGGTTAATCCATGCGCGCGCATCCTTAAAGTTCTGATACCGCGAACACTTCATCGGCCGGTATTTCTAAGAAAAAACGGGTGGTGCGAAGAAATCAGAAAAGGTATGAATTTAATTTGTTTTGCAAAGAAGATGTCCTAACTTCTAGTTTTTATATACAAAATGTCTTGAAGTAACTCTTTCCTGTTTTGTCAGTATTTCGCGTTGAATGCGATTTTGATTCTGGATAGTGCGTACACCTGGCGTTGAAATGTTACAGAAAATGAGCAAATATCGATTAAACTGGCCGTTTTAAACGGCTGGAAGTTATTCATTTGTAGAATCCTTTTCAAAAATATATTTTCAACCTTCGTTCTAATTCATCTGTACTAAAAATGTATTTAAACGCACTATTTACAGAAAACAGAGATTATGATATTGCGTACACTCTAAAAATTACCAGATCTGCGTACACATAACTATGCTATTGATAGAGAGTACATTTTATTCGAAGCAGTCTAAGGTTTATAAAATGATAAAGCGGATTACATGGGTGTCCCATTTGAAGAATTATTTAAAATCTACATCCTAGAAAATGTTTAGAATTAACATGTATTTATGCAATTTGTTTAGGTATTTATGTATAAAAAAATAATTGTCTATCTTGATAATGTTTTTATACTCTACATTTCAAAATAAATTACTTCTTACAGTCAAATTTATATCTTATTTAAGAAAATGAATGTGTGTCGATTTTGTGGTGAATTCTTTGCCAGTGAATCTTCTCTCAGACAGCATGAGGCACGACATCGGCAAGATGGCCCCTACAAATGTGATATTTGTAGTCAAGTGGCTTTTTCGGAGTACCATTACAAAACACACATGCAGCGTCATTCCTCTGAACGCAATTACGAATGTAAATGCGGAAAATCGTTCAAGACAGCTCATAATTTTAAACGCCATGAACAAAGAAAGAGCCAAACAAAGGAATTCAAATGTGATGAATGTGGCTTGGCCTTCTCTAATAATAAAGATCTTAATGATCACAAAGATAAGCACGAGAATAGAAAACGCCATAAATGTGGAAAGTGTGGCAAAGCATTCAGGTATTAATGCAATCTTTACAGACACTCCAAAATGCACGAAGGGAATGAATTTACATGTGAACATTGTGGGAAAAAATTTCCAAGCAAAGCAGCTATTTCGTCCCAACTCTCATATGCAAGTAAAGATCCTCTCAAGTGCAGTATTTGTAAAAAAACTATTCAGTCATACCAAAACTCTTAAGGAACACATGAAAAGGAAACACAGTTAAAAGTTTGTGGAACATGAACGCATTCCAAAGAAATAACTTGCTGCAAGCGTTTTTAGTTCAAGTTACAAATATATGCTATTTTCTTGTGCAATTTAATTTACCATGTTTTTCCCATGAAGTGTCTGTAGAGATTGCATTTATACCTGAATGCTTTGCCACACTTTCCACATTTATAACGTTTTCTATTCTCGTGCTAAGTTATCTTTGTGATCACTAAGACCTTTATAATTAGAGAAGGCCAAGCCACATTCATCACATTTGAATTCCTTTGTTTGGCTCTTTCTTGGTTCATGGCGTTTTAAATTGTGAGATGTCTTGAACGATTTGCCGCATTTACATTCGTACTTGCGTTCAGAGGAATGTTAATTCTAAACATTTTCTAGGATGTAGATTTTAAATAATTCTTCAAATGGGACACCCATGTAATCCGCTTTATCATTTTATAAACCTTAGACTGCTTCGAATAAAATGTACTTTCTATCAATTGCATAGTTATGTGTACGCAGTATCTGGATTTTTTTAGAGTGTACGCAATATCATAATCTCTGTTTTCTGTAAATAGTGCGTTTAAATACTTTTTTAGTACAAATGATTTGGAACGAAAGTTGAAAAAATATTTTTGAAAAGGATTCTACAACAGAATAACTTCCAGCCGTTTAAAACGGCCAGTTTAATCGATATTTGCTCATTTTCTGTAACATTTCAACGCCGGGTGTACGCACTATCCAGAATCAAAATCGCATTCAACGCGAAATACTGACAAAACAGGAAAGAGTTACTTCAAGACATTTTGTATATAAAAACTAGAAGTTAGGACATCTTCTTTGCAAAACAAATTAAATTCATACCTTTTCTGATTTCTTCACACCACCCGTTTTTCTTAGAAATACCGGCCGATGAAGTGTTTGCGGTATCAGAACTTTAAGGATGCGCGCGCATGGATTCACCCCCTTGTATACTGGTAAGTTCGTTTCGGGTCCAGCAATGTCCTATTTACACAATTTCTCTTCCGATGCACCTTCCGCATTAACATCTTTTCTGTCATAAGAAAATTATAACAAATGAGAGTTTAAAACTTTAATTGTGGATAAAGGTACGATAGAATAAAAAAATTAAAAATAAACATAGCTTGATTTTTTCTGTTGATTCGCCATATTCAGAGCATTTTCAGTCATCATACGCCTCGAAAAAACATTTCTGCCTACAACGTTAGTAATATCACTTCGAACATGCTAGTCTGGACGCCGGTAACATACTCCAGAAAAGTCATTCTTGGTGGATTTTTTGCATACGCGCCACAGACACGACACAATTAAAAGTCTTCTTAGATATTGTCAACAAAAATGGCTAAACTACATCGTGACGTTTATAACATTACTTTTTTTAGATATATAGATATTTCACAGGTTATATGACCCTTCATAAACGGATGTTTGCATATATAACCCGAGGCTCTAAGGTAAGGTTATATTGTTATTTATAAACAACCGTTAATATATGGTCATATAACCTGTCAACAATCTCTATCACCGCAAACTTCTTATATTAAAAAAAAAATTACTTCGATTGTCAACAGCTTTGTGTACAGTTAATATAACCGTCACCATAGCAACATATGTTTTAAAAGGCCATATAACTTGTGACATGTCGTTATGAATAAACACAAAAACGGGCTCCACACATTAGAAACGCGAATAGAACAAGCTTTCATCATGAGTACTCGATAAACGTTTTATGCTAGATTTGAGAAGATTTGATGTCGACTTGAGAAGTACAGTGGTAATCAGTTTCATGGAGTATATTCAGAATGTGAAAATAATGTAGGAATGTGAAAATAATGCAGGAATGTGAAAATAACGTAGAAATGTGAAAATAACGTAGGAATGTGAAAATAACGCAAGAATTGTGCAATCTGAACAATATATATTGCTACATGAGCATAACGCTAACGGACCAATAATTTTTTGTTGAATCAAATTGGAAAAAATAAATAAATGAGGAAGTGCATACAGCTGTTAATGATCGGGATCATAGTAATAAACTTCTTATTACGCGTACCACAAGGACGAGAAGCAGCTATATATATAACGCGCTGTCAGAGAAATCCTACCATACACGTGCAAGCACAAACGCACGCACGCTTTTAAATTTTACTGTTGTCATAAACACATGAACATAAATTTGAAATATTTGTCAATTTTATTGCACAGTTAAAGTATAGCACATGGAAAATAAAAATAAACATTTGGAACATTAAATAAATACATGGTTATAAAATATTTTCAAAAAAGACACAAAATACAGTTACAAACTAATCACATCCGAACTAGACCATTGTGATTTATATGGATCAATCATACATTCTAAACAAGTTACGTACATCAAAATAAAAAGACGAAAAATAAACAATGTATCTGCTCGAAAAACAAACATATATCAAAAGAATGAAATGTTATTTATTATATAAAGTATTGCGATCTAAAATGTTTGTTTACGTATATTGTCTATAAATAAATATATGTTCAAAATAAAATTTAGATAATTACAGAGAAATCTGAATGTTTTCCCTGTAATCAATATAAAAAAACCATTGTTTTACACAGATCTTTACTTGTGGGGGTTTCCGACAGTATATCAAAATATTTGAAATAATTAACCCGAAATATTTCATAATGTTGTTTCAGTTACGCAATAAATAATCATATTCGCATTTAGTAAAAAAAAAAATAATAATAACGTATCTTTATGAATAAGATGCAGAGAAAAGCTTTCGGTAAATAAGATTTCATGTACATTTTATAAATTGCAAATTGTTACAACTCAAATGCAATATGTAAATCTAAATTTCAAAAAAAAAAAATAAATGACAGAGCTTCAGTGGCTAATTAAGTGAATTTATATACAACAATTAAACTTTTAACAAGCTTTGTAATCATTATAAAGGAAAAAAAATAAGAAAATGTGTTGTTTTTTCTAATTTTTCTTAAGTGCAAATTACTTCAGTTATAAAAGAAAGGTTAATGTAAATTGAAGCAGATTTACAATCTATCACAAATTCAGGTTTACAATCTATCTTTCGCTAACGTTCAAATATAAATGATTAAGTAGAATCTTACGTTGATTGCATACATACACTAAAAATAAAGACGTTGAGGACATTATGGTTTTTATCAGTCCATTTAGACAATACACAAACACATATATTTTTATATACATGTTAAAACATACCTGTGCTAACAATTGAAGCACAACATATATAAATGCATCACACACGAGATACAAGAATAAATTATGACCACGGTACAAACAACATAATCGTGAAAAAATGACATTAATGGATCGCCGTTAATTACGTCAACGCAACGTAAAACAAAACGTATGGAGGAAATGGGACAAATTAGCGGTTAACTGACGTTACGTTAGGCTCATAAATAATCCTAGGTCTTTAATGTTCAATAATAGTTAAGCTTTGGTCACAAAGTTTCACATTTCATTTATAATAGTCGTTTATGGTAAGTTGCGGTAACGTAACGTATATTATTGTCATTGGCAACATGACGTTAACGTGATTTTATAAGAGGAAGCCAATTTACATTCTCTAATCAATTAGTTTGAAACTGTCGTCTTTTGTAAAAAATGCGTCAAACATTTTATTATAACTCATCATAATGATTCCTCGATCACAGAATAACCGATCCACATTATTTTTGTGTCTGATAAAGTCCGGAGCAAATGTCCAACCTAACTTCGAATTTAGTTCACACATTCGACTAGTTTCAAACACGTGCTACGGTTTCCTATCTATAACAAATGTTGAAATGCATCGTTCCTGATTTTTTTTAGAGATATTTGATGTTCTGTAATATATGACGTAATTATTTCTATATTGCGACATCGTTCATGCGAATCCGTAAAGCGGTACGTCTTTGTCGTCTGCGGTTATTTCTGCCTCGGCCCCGGTTCCATCTATCGAGGCCTGATTTGCTGTAATTACATGGATTTGTTCTTGAACTGACGCACCCTTTACCCATGAGATACCTTTCACCTCGTCTACACTGATATAACATATACTGGTTCTTGAAACAGCTTGCATACATATGACATGACTTCAGACATTCAAGCACCTCGCCGTTGGTGCACGTCTTCAATGCATTACATGGTTTATTTACAACGCATCCCCATCCCAAAGAGCAACCTGAAAATGAAGAGAATATTGACTTTTAACAAAGTGACATAGAAATTAAAAAAGTAACATATACATCTTAAATGTAAGATTTGATTTCTGTTATGTTGAATTAAAGGTAATCAGTCAAAAGATGTTATGTGTTGTTTTTAAAGTACAATATTGTTGACAAGTTGTTTTTTCCAGAATAAACTACTCTGTCATTCCAAAATAATCTTTGATCTTTTTACCTTTATGTACATATATGTTCGGATGAAAGTGTTATTACCTGCAGTAACCGTCGTTTTCTCTAATGCTGGTGGTGGTGTGACTGTAGCTGGTGGGCGTGTGACTGGATCAATTGAAGGCCACACCCATTCCGTGCTGTAGTCACAGTAAAAGCTCACTACCATGCTGTTTGTAGTCAGCTGTGGACAACTTGCATCAGTGTTAAAGTCCCAAACATTAAGAACAGCGTCTCCGAACGAGTTTCCGAATTGAAGTGGTATCCCACCTGTTATTTTTACAGCACCAGAACACGGGCGATATATTTCAGTTCCTGGCACGAGACAGATTGGTTTGCACACACGACCGCATGAATCTTGTGCGTTTAACATTGCAACAGATACATCACTTTCGGACATGGGTTTTCGGACAGCAAGATACGCTGTCGCTACAGTTATTGCTAATCTTCTGTCCAATATGGCATATTCTTTGTAAATACCTTCATAGTTCAACCCCATTGATTTTACATAAATTGTATTTGTAGGTGTGCTAGGTTCTATGCAATCTTCATATTTCGCCGGTGTCTCTGCTTTTCGTAAATGTCTGTACACGTTGCTGTATGCACTGGGTGCATAAATATCTCCCTGACCTTTTTGGATTTTTCCACGTCTCACAGGGTATGATCCATAATTTGTGTAATCTGGGGGCCTTCTCAAAATAAGTTTTACTGGAATGTACACCCACTGTGCTATGTCACTTTGGCCGTTCATGCAAAATGTGTTCTGAACTGGTTTGATTGCCTTAGTAGGTTTTTCCACTGTTGGAGTTGTTGGCTCAGTAACGTTAGTGTTTGGATACGGTGTTGTCGAAGGTACATGTGGGCGCGTCGTGTGTGGTTTTGTTGGTTTGCAAGGTTTAGGTTTGGGTTTATTCAATTCCGCTTCGTAATCTTCAACTTCTTTAAGCGTTCTAGCCATACACTCATATTGACCTCTACCACGCTCATCTGGGTCTATTGCAGGTACACATTTTAAATAGACTGAGCCACAGTCTTGTTTTCCTTTGTTACAAGTTGGTCTTTTATCGTATTTGTACCATTCTGTCGTGAACATTTCACTCAAACCATCAATAACGTCCAGATCTGCAAAACCCATTTTTGCAGTTGGTAGGTGAAGTTCTTGAGCGCCCATAGTTGTTGGATTAGCTGGGTAATCTGACTCAAGATCTACACCTGCGCTTTTTTGATTTTCTCTGAAGAGTTCCCAAACTAAATCAATAAAGCAATGGTGGAGCCAAAATATGGGGTCATACACAGCAGACGACAAGATTGCCATCTGTCCGTCAATCCATCTGTGTACTCCGTTGTGATGAAACTCCCAATCATGGTCAATATCAGAATCTTCTCCACATATTTCATGCATTCTTGTATGTTTTGTTATGTTCTCAATCATCTTATTTGAGATCAATGGACCGTCTATTGCACAGTTTCGTGTGATAACACCTAACGACGACGGCCAACCTTGTTGCATGATACCGCCCTTTGCCTCGCCTTCGCATGATCCACAAAGGCGGTCACTAAACAACGCAGTTTGTAAGGCGTCGTCCATTTTGCCGTCTAAAGTAGAGTCCCAATATGGTAGCGTGACATCTGCAAATCTTGGTCCTTCACTTCTTAGAGCGTTTTCAAACCTGAAATAGAATAATACATGTAAAAGAAATATTTCAAACAATTTATGTCTTAAAATGTTTTATATGTTTATCTTTCTTTATTAAACTTCATTATCAAAATATAAAGATTTGAAAAGAAACATGAAAATATACGTACATAAGTAGATACATCCTATGCCAGCCAAGGAAATTGCAGCCACCATGTGCGGACACTGACGTCATACCAGTATGGAACTCGGCGAGGGCATCATATTTATTTGGTGCAATAGACTAGAAAAGAATAGCAGAAAAGTCAGATAATTTAAAATTCAAAGCATCATTTTTAAACGGTAATCGGTTTAAAAAAGAATGTAAATATAATATCATTTAAAGTATTTAAAAGTAACATAATGGTCTAGCACTTTAATCTTACTTCAGCATATTGTCATCATTAGTAATAAAGGTTTAAAGTGAAATTTCATGTACATAGGAAGTCGATAGGAAGTCGATCAAAAGATCAATTTTGGAAAAACTCACCTCGTTTTTCTTTGCACTATTTACAGCGTCTATAAATAACTGTATTTCTTCCTTAGACATCATACGGATCTCCTTCCGGATGCGGAGTTTTGGCTTTGGTCCGGTATGACTCAAGGGACTGGCTTGTCGCTTCTTTCGTTTCATTCTAAACCTTCGGATTTCTTGTTTTGTATCTTGACATAGGCTTGTAATAAACTCTCTAAAATGATAATAACAAGACTATGACTATATGATATCTCTGTCAATGGAAATTACATAAAGTGTTTGAATTATTTTGGTAGACGATAAAATCAATGGGTTACTAAAACGTGCACCTATTTGACTTTAATAAAGTTAAATAAATTAAATAAGATGATCAACAACTGAATAGACCAAACTTGTGTATGTACTTACATATTTGAAAAATGGCCCGATACTACAATATTTTATTTAGATACATTCATTAAGTGAGTATTATTACAGCCTCTGTTTGACAATGTTTTTACAATGTTATACGAATATCTATTTTTTCATAGTTTGGCTGTATATCTAACTTACATAGTTTGAGGGGATGCCCCACGTTGTATATTTAAATCTTTAGCATGTTGCCACATATACATATTTTCACAATGCGCCTGAATGGATACTGCCGGTGTTTTTGCTATAGATGTTTTCTTTTTGTAAGTGCCAAAACATTGTGCTAGGGGTCTAGGAACGTCGTAAGTCTGTACAGTTGCTGAGCCTATTTGAAATATGACAGCGCAATGGACAATAAAGGTGACTAGTGGTATGTGCATCTGGAAAAAAAGAAACGGCGCTTACAAAATTATCATATTGCAGCATTAAGAACACAAACATAAACGCATATATAGATTTATCACACACCCGTGCCGATTTTGCGACTCCGTAAATATGGTATTGCACGGCCGTGCATATATTTTGACCTGACGTCATTAGCGTTATGCAAACATAGTTTTCAATTCAATTTCAATATTTTATTAGGCATATAAACATTATATACAGTTTTTTGCCTAAATGAATATATTAGGCGGCAACAAATATCATGAGAAGAGTATGTTATATACAAAAAATGATGATAAATGTCAATTATAATATATATGTATATGGAAACACTCATATGTATACATTTCAATTCGATGATAGTGTAAAGACGCGCTTTATGTTAGCGTTCTACTGTAGGCGCGTCAACGGAAAATGACTCTTATTTCACTTTAAACGGTCTTTATTTTGGGTATGTGATAAATAGAATATTAAATTCGTGTAAGTTCATTACTGAATTTATTGCACTCGTTGAATAAAATAATATTATGCTCGCCAGAGGCTCGCATAATATAATTTTATTCAACTCGTGCAATAAATTCAGTATTGAACTTACACTCATTCAATATCCTCTATCTATTGAGTTGCATTAAGATATATACATTATACATAAATATACGTTGGACACAATTGTCAGGAAGTTACTTGTTCACAAAATATTTACCAAACTCATCCTTAATAAGGACATAAGAAAAGGTGTGTAATTAAAACTATCAAGTCTTACCTTCTTAATATAATATCCGAAACAATAATGAAATAAGCACAAATAAATATATTAGTGACTTTTCTTGAAGTATATCCACTCTTACAATTAATGACTATTAATATGAAATGTCTTGTGCCTTTAATTAGTTAAAACATATATCAGCACCATTGTGAATTTAAATAATTATTATCATCAGATCTACTGCAGAGACTTTAATGAAAATACCTTATCAAGCTTAGCAAATTTATCCAAAGTTTTAAAACGAAGAACCAAAATATCATCCAATGAAATCACGAGTTCGCGCTACTGCAATAATGACATTTCATTATTGTCGAGTTTATGTTAAAATGACAAGTAAAACAGACTTATGACGGTAAAGATCCCCATGATTGATCGACAGTCGCTAATTTTGTACGTAATAATACAGGACCAATAGATTCACCTTGTTGTACACCTCAATTCATTGTAAACTAGCGAGGTTGACGATATGTCTAGATCTAAATATACATGATTGTCTCCTGTTGTAAAAATAGAAATGACGATAAACGAAAACAAAAAACTATGGTTATCATTTGACTGGAAATTTATATTTGAAATCCACACGTTTTAATATTTGTGTATAAAAAATGTTTAAAAAAAACAAACAATTAATAAAACACACAAAGTAAAAATAAATCTGTGATATGCAGGTTTCATAACCACTGATTCTTTTTCAAAAATTTCTTTTTATCTTTAGTTTCGCAGATTGCTTTCTCTTTTAGGGTACATGTTTTTTTTTTACTTGAGGACCATTCGCCGATTTATTTATGAAATGGCACGAACGTGTCATATTGAAGGTTCAATGATAAGTGCCATAATATCAAATTATGAACACATCAATCTGCTGATGTTTCTAAATTGTTACCAATTCATATTAAATGTTGAATTCTGCTTAAGCCGGTGCTAGGGGGCGTGGACGGATGCTTGTACTTACCATTTCCGTCCATGAAAATACTCAATCAAACCGATCTTATAACATTTTGGTTGTCCTATAGGGATTCGGCTTTTAAACATTTTAATTGTATGGCCCCTTGTTAGAACCGCAAAGGAACGACAACTCATTGCAGGAAGGTATAGAATAGATAAATACAGAATCAACCAATGTACTGTATACGACACGGAAAATCCTGTCTATAAAGTTAATAAATGAAGAGTGAAAAATGAAATAATAACGTCAAAATATTTATGAAAAATTAAAATGTGGCATGACTCATTATATCTCTTTTATAAATATAATATGACCAATGCATTTGAAATTCAGTATAAACCACAACGTAGTGTGTGCATGTAAAAGCCCACGAAGACAAGTTTCAAACGTAGGTGCGTTGACATAACTAAATATATCTGTTAAAAATTTAACTTGTCGTTAAACCGTTGACTATTACTTTAATATAATGCTTTTTTTTCGGAGAACAATGGACGTTAAACGAGTGTAAGGGATGACCACAAAATGAATGTTTCAATCCGACAGTACAAGTATTTTCGTCATAAAAATCAAATTTGCCGTGTAAAACACGGAATACACCCGAGTACTGCCATTGCAGTAAAAGAAACCGATTTTGGCTGATAAACATTTCAGCAAATATTGTTACATAAAATGAACTCTGAGTGGTCTTATATCATATTTTTATTCTTTTGTAAAAAATATGTAAGAACAGTTAACAGTCAAAACATTTTTTTAAAAAACATGAAATATCAAAATAAAGTGTTTTCTTTTCACTTTTAAATAAAATGACGAATATAGGAGTCTCATGGACGCTAATTAGAGTGCAAATATGTAAGTAAAATGTTAAAAGTTTAGAGGACAATGACTTTTATTTTGAGAAATTAAGATAGATATACTTACGTTTTAGACATACATACATTACCGTAAGATGAAGGAGGTGTTAAATTAAGCGCACAGTTGGAATTTTTCTAATATATGCGTGCCAGTGAAAAGTGTTGCCCATTCTTTAACGTTAGTAAGCTGTTCGGCGTTATCAATTATCCACTGTATTCTTTCATGCTAAGATATCAAATGGTTTGATGAATATGACAAAGTAAAGAACAAAGAACCAGAGATACTACAGAAAAAAATGGGGCTTCAGCAATCGTTACAATATGCATTTTTGTATATAAATGGATACATGTGCTTTGTTTGTTTATCAGAAATTTTGGCTAAAATGTTCAATAAGCCGAGCATGTATTTTGCAGTATTTGTTTTTGGGTTCTTTTTAACATTTTACCTTGAAAACCGGATTTTGATGCTTCCCGAAGGATGAGCACATAGACGCCGCTTTATCCGTCCGTCCGTCTGTCCGTCCGTCCGTCCGCTTTTCTTATCCGGGACATAACTTTGAAACAACAAGAGGTATCAACATGAAACTTTGTAGGTAGATAGATCTCATTGAGTAAGTGTGCATTGCCCAAGAACCGTAACTCTGTCTTGCCTGATTTTTGAATTATTGCCCTTTGTTTATTTTTACTCTTTGAACCTTGTCCTGGACATAACTCTAAAAGTATAAAAGATATCAACATGAAACGTTGTAGGTAGATAGATCTCATTGAGTTAAAGTGCACCTTCAAAAACCATAACTCTTTCTTGCCAATTTGAGTTATTGCCCTTTGTTCATTTTGACACTTTGAACTTTGTCCGGGTCATTACTCTAAAATTATAAGAGATATCAACATGAAACTTTGTAGGTAGATAGGTCTCATTAGAAAGAAGTGCAGTGCTAAAAAACCATAACTCTGCCTTGTCTTATTTTGATGTTATTGCCCTTTGTTTATTTTTACTTTTTGACTTTTGTCCGGGACATAACTCTAAAACTATTAGAGATATCAACATGAAACTTTGTAGGTAGATAGATCTCATTGGATAGAACTGCAATTCTAAAGAACATAAACACAGCCTTGTCTTATTTTCGAGTTATTGCCCTATGTTCATTTTTACACTTTGAATTTTACCCGTGACATAACTATGAAACTATAAGAGGTATCATCAGGAAACTTTATAGATAGATAGATCTCATTGAATAGAAGTGCCGTGCAAAAAACCATAACTCTGCCTTGCCCAATTTTGGAGTTTTTGCCCTTTGTTCATTTGTTTTATACTTTCCTGTGTCCAAAACTTTCTCGGGGAGCATCACCCGGTTCAACCGGTTCTTGTTTAAAGATTCGACATATAAACTAAGAAATTCTTGATTTGACTACAAAACCGTGCAATCATGCATTTCAGTCAGTTTCCTGCTTACACAATTATGAATTTAGTTCGGTTGCCAACACCCAGCAATGTGTTTCTTTATTCAATTTTCGAAACATAAAAGAATAATTTAATTTTCATTTTATTTCCTGCATACAATCAGTCACTATATACGCAACTATGCCCAGGAACGATGATGTTACTAACCTCTGCTCTGCATATGGTAAATACAATGTGGCATAGTGCCGTGATTGGGGTGGTAAACTACCACCACCGCCACCATACTATGATTTTGTTTACATCTGAAGTAAAGTGATTGAACTACTTTAAATTCGTATTACCTCCGAGATTATGATTAATAATCGACGAAGTGTTCCGAATAATATCTGACTGCAGCATGGCCTAATGTAGACCCTGCTGGTAATCAACACATTCGCGCGCTAAAACATTATAAAAACGGTCTCTTTATAAATACGAAAAATAATGACGGAACGCAAAATTACGAATTATATACGTATGGTTAATGCAAAGATATAGTTAATTCATGCACCTTTTCTTGCATTTACATCTATTTGACTTTTTTTCCTAGGGACTGGCTCGAGATTGAAATGGGTCCTCGTGCCGCTTCAACTGTTAAAGGTACACTTTTTCGGTATTTTTAAATAAATTGTATATTGTAATTTAACGAAATTATTTAGTGCATGTGCAAAACGGTATAGTAAAATTGTAGAAACTTTAATTTGGAAAAGCAAGGATAACATTTTAGTAGATTTTTAGGTTCTTTTGAAGTGAAGCGGCATCAGCGCCGTCGTGTATCGCGATGATGGAGAAGTAAATTTATGCCGGAGGCGGAGTTTAATTGTCCATGTCATTTACCTGTCGTATTATTGAATAGATACATGTGGAAATACGAATGTTTTGTAAATTTGCATTTTTCGTAAACACTTATACATTTAAACATATACGTTATATTATTTGATTACTTATGTGACGTCTTTCAATTAACACATGTTGATTAAGAAGAAGCGTTTTTAATTCTGAAAACAAAAAAAAACGTATGGTGTAGGATTTGAAATTAAAGGTTTAAGGCGGGACTATTAAGAAGGTAAGATAAAAATACAGATTACGTGTTGTTTTTGTTTTCATACTTCTAAAATTTTTCGTTGTTTTTCATTTCTAACGTGTGGTCATCGAACCAGGATGAGAACATATTCTTTTTAATCATTATATATTTCTTTGATATTCGCGGCGATCATTCTTATTTCGGTAACCTATGGATTCGTATATTTATACACCCCTTAGTCTTCCAAGTTGGCTAGTATTTATAATATACTCTGTAAATCTCCATGGATATAAAAACATGCAAAAATATATCAAAATCGACACATTGTCAATGCAAATGCTGTATATTTGGTGCCAATACTGTGGTCATTTTGTTATCATTCTTTTTTCAAAATCAGTATGATTTGAGACTTAAATTATATACTGGTTACCGACCGTGACTTTAAATCATTTGTGCTCAGTCTAGATTAATTCCTCAACTATCAATCATGTTTTAATTGCTTTTTAATATTTTAAGCAATGCATTTATATATCATGTATATAAGTATTGCGTTTGTTTCGTATCACAGGTAGATTTATGTAAAGTACGTATAGACTCCACATATTTTGATATTTAGTGCTTTACACGCTTCTTAGTATACAACTTTTTATTCATCTCAAGGTAAAACTTAATCATATTTCTTGTTTATACATATCAAGTGTCTATTTATAAAACGGTATCAATTTAACATGTTAAATTTTTTTTAACCTTGTTACCAAGGTAACGTACCATCATAATATATAAAAAAGACTAGAAGTTTGTGGACATTATGACTATCTGGGTGTAAACTATAAAATAAGAATAGGCACAACAATCAAACTAAAACGTCTGTCGGTCAGTTAAATAGGAAGAGCGTCGGACTGTGAATCGGGCGGCCTGGGTTTGACTCCCGGACGGTATAGGTCACTGTCTAGGTGACTGATAATGAAATCCTTTCTACGGTCTTTCGCACTGCACCTCTTCGCTGGCATGTGGATAAGTGATCAATTCTGCTCCACAACCCGCCCAGAAACGATGCAGTTGGACTGTGCACTGGTGAAATTAATGTGGCTTACTCGGCTCCTTGCCGGTGGTCCGGTGTTGCTGGGCTGTGGTAGTGGATGCGTTCATTGAAAACCGCCTTTCCTTGTTGATCTTTGTCTTCATATTTTACTGTTGTGATCCGGAAACTTAACTTCCGGTTTCACAACCCCCACTAAGCAAACTTAAAAGTAAACATATGCCAGAATCTAAAGATGAAACTTTACACTTACTACTTTAAACTGAATCGGTTAGCAAGGGCACGTTTTTAGTAAGTAAGTCAAATAGTGATAAATACAAAAGAAATGTATCATTAAGACATTCTTATAAAACATTTATTGAAAAAAGTTGATTAATTAAGTCGTAAGTGGTTTTGTTTGGACATTTTTATGATGAATACTAGCACAATTAATATGTATCTTCGATTGCAAACAATATCTAATTATAATACTGCACTTTGTAACGTCGGTTTTCATTGGAAAACCGTGATGTTATACACAGTTGCTTTGAAATTATTATTTAATTTTATGTTTTCCTCTTAAAACGGATGTTTACTGTATTGTAAATTTTTTTAAAAGATTTTAAGGTTATAAGGCTGGTGTTGGTAGTATCACTCCGGATTACGACTGTAATAGACACATTGAATTCACCAGAGCACAGTTCAACCACCGCATCGTTCCTGGGCAGGCTGTCAAGCAGTTTATCAGTACTTGTTACCTTGCGCCGTCCGGGAATCGAACCCGGATCGCCCGATTTACAGTCCAAAGCTCTACCTATTGTGCTAACCAGACGGCTTTTATAGGGCCATAAAACCTGTCAGAATCTTTATGATATTAGTTATAAAGATTTTAAACAGATTATATAAACGGTTGTTTGGATATATAACCCGAGTCGCTATGCGGGGTTATATTGCAAACAACCGTTTATATTATTAGTTATAAAGATTTTTGACAGGTTATATGACCCTATATAAACTGTTGTTTGGAAATATGACCCGAGCAGCTAAACAACCGTTTATATACGGCCATATAACATGTCAAAAATATTTATAACGAATTTATAAAACATCAAGCATCTTGACTTAGATTAATTCATAAATTGACGGCAGACTTGTATATACAACTATATAAATGATACGATTATCCAATGAAAAGCGACATTACAAACGTAAGTATTATAAACGGTCATATAACATGTGCTGGTTATTGTGGCTGATTTGGTACATTGCACGTAGCGTTGTCGATAGCGAAGCACGTCAAACGGCGCATTGTCGTGCGGTGCGTTGTCGCGATTTCGCCCTGCCGCTTGGCTTATAAGCCAATCCTTCGATTTAAACAGAGCGACAATATGACATCACGCCGCACGACAACGCGCCGTTTGGCGTACATCGCTAGCGACAGGACAACAAGACGAAAGTCCGACAACGCGCCGTTTTGCGCTTTGTTCTGTTGTCGCTAGCGCCAACACGACGTACAAAGACGTTCCAAATCAGCTTTGTAACACCGCACTTTGGGGTCAAACGCACTTTGGGGTCCGACCCCAAAGTGCGTTAAACTTCGCACCGCACTTTGGGGTCAAACGCGCTTTGGGGTCAAAATCGAGAAATTTACCCCAAAGTGCGTTAATATGCTACATATCAACGCACTTTGGGTTCCAGAGAACTGAAGGTGTCATCTGAGATCTGCTTAAATACTGAGTACTGACTTATTTTCGATCTGCGACATTGAAATATTTGAGGTGGAGTTCAAGATGGCGGTCAATACATTGATGATGCTTAAGTGATAAAACTTTCATTAATTTTACCACTTGAAATATCTAAAAATTGTGTTCATATAACAAAATTACGGTGGCATAAAAGTGACATTTGCATTTTTTTTAGTTTTGCATACATATTATTTTTTAGTTTTGCATACATATTTTTTTTTAGTTTTGCTTCATATTTTATTTTATTTTTTCGTACATATTTTATTTTTGTTTTTTCGTACATATTTTAGCCAATCAAAACAGCCTTCACACCTCATAACAGCCCATAGTTGAGTATAAAACTAGCACAGTGGTTTGGTCACATTTCGACCCATTTTTGGAATCGGCCCAGTCGTTTTCGCCCGGGCAAGTCTGGTTTCGGCCGACCCTTTTCGGCCCATTTTTTAAATTATATGTATTTTATATAATTATTGTTTTTTTATTATTATATACTATTATATTAGTGTCTATTTGGAAAGGGCTGGAGATTGGTGATTAGTTATTATTATGAATATGCAACACTCAACCCCTCGCCCTGAGAATAGCGGGGGGGGGGGGGCATTGACTTTAAAACCAAGCCGACCACTGGTAAAATCTTTGCCCTGCGGGGGGTACTCAGATAACAACATTCCTGCCTTATGCCCCGGACGGGGCCAACATCAAAGCACGATTCTTTTTTAACCCGCACTCCCCGGGGGCAAGAGAGGTGGTTACAAATGACTGGTGTATTACAATAATGCACAACAAAAAATCTAAAAAGGTCATTATATTCCACTGATTTAGAAAAAATGCTTAAAGCTAAGCTTTGAAGGATTTTTATGAAAATTGGATCAATTCTTTTGCACATCCAGATTATGTGCAGAATTTATATGCCAGGTGTGCCGGCTCAAGGTCGGGGGACACACCTACAGGTCAAAGGATTAAGATTTGGGTTTCATGTCCGCTCCTTATCTCCAAAACCCCATAAAGGATTTTCAGTCGAGACAATATGCAGAACCTTTCTTTGGGTTACCGCGGACTATATATATACTAAAAGTGTTGTTATTTTTTTTATTCCTCCAAAATGAAAATGTTGGTATTTGCAAATGAGGTACTGTAATTTACAGATGGCGAAGTGTTTAAAAATGGCGTTTTACAAATGGCGTAATTATCCAAACCTCTACTTTGCAAATTGCGTCATGTAAAAATATGTACTAAAAAACAAAAATAAAATATGTACAAAAAACTAAAATAAAATATGTATGCAAAATTAAAAAAGAATATGTATGCAAAATTAAAAAAAGGTATGTATTCAAAAAAATATGTACGACAAACAAAAAAAAATATGTACGAAAAACAAAAAAAGTATAAAAAAAATGCAAATGTCACTTTTATGCCACCGTTCAAAATACTCTAGTACAGAAATTGTGTATTCCTAAAATTAAAAGATGCTGCGAAAAATGTCCCGTTCTGTCAGTCATTTACTTGATAACTTTTGGTGCCATATTGAGCCCCATTTTAAATATGTTGATAATGAAATAAAATGCAGTTTTTTTTTTTTCAAAAGAACTATAAATATACTCTAAAGTGGCGGCATGGCCGAGTGGTTAACGCGTCGGACTAGTAATCTAATGATCGCTAGCCGTATGGGTTCAAACCCCGTCAGGGGCAAGTCGTTGTTTCCTTGAGCAAGATACTTTACACTCATTGCTCAGTACTGGTTCCAGGAACGGATTCGAAAGTGTGTCTATAAGCTTTTAGCTTCCTACACAATCGAACTAAAATAAATTCTGTATAAACCAAATATACTCTATTGCAATGTTCTGGTGAAACATCAAGTTTTTCGATCGGACTATAAATAGTGATTTTTACAAATACATTATTAAGCTATCAACAAACTTAAGGGTTTTTGTAAGCTCCGTAACAACCGTTCGCCAGGGGATACGGACAAAAGCGCCCCCGGGGGCGGGCTTTTGTCCTACACTCGTTCGCCAGAGGCTTTTTTTTAATGGGAAATCTTACATACTTTCGTTAGAAAGAGCAAACACGAATTTTATAATGTTAAAATAATGGTATCAGAGAAATGTAAGATGCTTGTTACCTGAATAAAGTAGCGATAAATGTGAAATTATTTGTCATAAAAAATAGTCAAAAACAATGTAGTATTTGACTTCCATATAAAATACTAAAATACTAATTCACTGTAACTGTACTCATCATTGCCAAAAAGCAACAGATGAAAAAATGGTTCAGGTAATTGG